AAACAGCCTGGTTGCAGCCAGAGGAGCGTTCATTAGAGGATATGTACGCACCACGCAGTCCTTCGCAGGTATCCCATATTTGGGATGCAGACATTCAAAGCAAGTGCGAGGAGCTCGGAGTTCTAACAGGACCTGAAAGGAGCATGGATGAAGAACAAGAAAGGGAGGTAGTCCACGAGGTAGAGAGAGAACGTGAGGTGCAAAGGCCATCCAAAGTGCAACCCGCAGCTCAGGACTTGCATGCGCACGTCCGTCAATTTGTCAAGACTGGCCGAGTTCCAAAAGGGTCCCCCGTTTTCATTCCAGCGCTATCCAGCCTCATCAACACCACTGCCAAATTTCATGAAGATCATCACTGGGCACGCAACATTTTAGTAACCCGTGACTTTGCTCGTACGGTGGGGACTACCTTTACCACACAGAAAGTGGATGAATACCTGCGGCCCGTCAATTGGATCGTGCTTAGTGACGTTGGAGTGCTGGCAGTCATGAGTCCGCACGAAGTGGACACACTGCTGCCTGATATCCGCAACAGCAACGCAGTTCAATTATGTCTCTATACTCCTCGGACCACACGCACGATGAAGGCATGCGATGATCTCCGACTGTACCGTGTTCCCTCGACCCCACATCTGACGCCATCGGAACTGCAGATTTGCCAGCTCAACCTTTTTGCAGGTCAACTGTATTTCTCCAGTTATGAGATGTATCTCCGCACTTGCAATTTCTTAGGGCTCAACGCATTGGATTTGGGGGACGAGGACTTGATAGCCGACAGTGATGGATTCATCAGGGAGGAGAATCGCTCTTCTGCGAGAACATCGTGTTTGTTCAAGCGATCCCAGCTTCCTCCGCTGAAGGAGTTGTTCGGAATGAGAAGGAAAGGCATGGGGTATCTGCCAACTCACCTCGGAAAAATGTTCAATGGGCGCATTCTGACCGAGGGGGATTTTCTGGAATGAGTGCCAGGTCTGTTTAGCGTAAGTTTTTGCCTTTCTGCCGAGGACCTTACTGACTGCAGTTCCGGTCAACAGCGATTGTGTCAACACGTCTTCACCATGACTCTGTAATTTTGTGTTTTGTGAATGTATTTGTATGTAGTTGAATTCGTCTGAAACGTTATACGTCTTGCTCCGAACTCTCGCGGCTCCTTGATCTGGGGTGAACCAGCTACAGCCTACAGGGACATGTTTTTGTACCTTCTTTTCGCCAGTTTTACGCGTCTTTCCACCTGCCCTTAGCTCATCAAAGCGAAGGGGACGTGGACACAAGTGGGTACGCTCATAAAGGCATTTATTAATTTACAGACGATCTTTCTAGGATTGAGAGTGGAGTGGCGCCATGAAGGCAGCTCTGTGGTATGGCAATTAGAACAATGCCTTCTGAGGTACTGAGTCTCTTTGCTAGCAGCAGCATCTGTGTGTTGAATCGGAAGTGGAACTGAAGCACCAGCTCCAGAGGGGAGGAAACCAAGGAAATTTTGTGCGATCATTATCAGCGCGTCCCAGATTTTACATAATTCGTCACGGCAACTCAGCACCCTTCTTTCGTTTCCATCATTTCGCGATATCCGCCATCCACACTTTTCCCTTGTCGCATCATGTCTTAAGTTTTCGTCCACCGCTATTCATATTCTTAAATCCACGCGCTCTTAGTACCAATTGCGCACTTTAGCTGCTGCGCCGCACCTCAGAGCTCTGCCCACTTTGCCGTGTAACTCCCTTTGGTGTGCCGGGGGGCGAAAAGTATAATAAGGCAGAGCTAGCGCACTGCGCTCACGTGCTCCCAGAGCTCCACCCACCTTGCCGTGTAACTCCCTTTGGTGTGCCGGGGGGCGAAAAGCATAACAGGGTGGAGTTAGCGGACTGCACTTGCGCTTGCAAGGAGGTTGGGCCGCGCTGATGCCATCTGAATAGAGCGCCAAGCACAATATTGTGCATTTTTGTTTTTGTGATTCGCAATCTTTCCCATCAGCTCTGTTCTCATCCTGTAATGACACCGCTTCCCCGTGCTCTGCGCAAACCTGTCTTCGTCAAGGTGAGGCATAAGCAGCCTGCAGCCTGTACGCTACATTAATTCATGACCGTCCCTTTTAGGTTCTGGATAATGCGTATGAGCTCGGTTGTGGATACCTTCTTTGAAAATATGCTCAGTGCTGCGTATGTAATACCGACAACTCGCTTGAATCAACTACTGACCGTATATTGTACAGCGCCTCCGACATGTACAAGATGTGGCAGAAAGTCGGCAAGGAGAGAAATCCTGACGAGTGGGAGATGACACCAGCAACTGTAAATGCATACTATAACCCCCCTGCCAATGAAGTAAGTAGATTCGTACTGTCAAGGCGCTGGACTGAAAAGAACAAGATCGTCTTCCCAGCTGGCATCTTACAACCTCCTTTCTTCTCCGAGAGCTGGTATGAATATATGTCACTATTTCGCAGCCCCTTCTCATACACACTTCTATATACAGGCTTGGATACCTCTCCTACGGCTCCTTTGGAATGGTAGCCGCGCATGAATTAACTGTAAGTTCGTTGCATTGCATTTTCCATAAACATTGGTCTAAGTATCATTAGCACGCATTTGATTCCTCAGGTCGTCTTTCCAACCAACAAGGAAAACTCGAAGAGTGGTGGTCACGGCAGACTAGCGACGCGTACCAAATTTGCCAGGACTGCATCGTGGAGCAATACTCGTCATATACAGTAGAGGATGGCAAAGGAGGGATCATCCATGTCAATGTATGTCACATTATGCTCCCTGCGTATAATGATTGACCAGTTGATCCACAGGGAAACCTGTATGTCTATGGTCGTGATGTTTAAGCTTGTTAACGTTACTAATTGATTACTTCCAAGTACCTCTGGCGAAAACATCGGAGACACGGGTCTGATTCAGGCGTATCGGGCTTGGAAGGCGCAATACGAAGATTCCTACGACGCCGGAACGGAATATCTGCTTCCCGGCCTTGGCTACACTCGGTTTGCGATACTAGATTTATGAGTGAACTATTCAGGCACTAATGCTAAGTTCAGGGAGCAGCTATTCTTCATCTCTTTGCCCGCACATGGGCGATGAACACCAGTCCTGCTGACGCAGTATCTGGGACACTGCCGATGTCTATGGAGACAGCGAAGAGATCATTGGCAAATGGTACGTCATACTGTACTGTGGCAGTAATAGGCCCTCACAATCTAGGAGTGCAGGTTCAAGCTGAACCCCGAAAAGCGGAGCAAAATCTTTCTTGCTACCAAATTCGGTATCATCGTCAGTGGATCTAACGGTAGAGACGTTGATGGGTCTCCAAAATATATCCACGAGTCATTTGCGAAATCACAAAGGTTGCTTGACAAGATCGACCTTTACTACTTGCACAGGTGCGCCTAGCGTGTTAACAGGTCACTCAAACTTCATTATCATCGTCATGCAGACCTGATCACCAAACACCAATTGAAATACGTCTCTGTATGTGGACCCTCTGAATCAATTAGCAAACTTGTTAAGTAAGCTCAATATTTTGAATACGGCTCGCGAACTTGGAATCAAAATCATCGCCTACTCGCCTCTTGGGCGTGGTTTGATCACGGGACAGTATGTAAGTATCGCAGACCAGTAAAACTGATTTGGACGCTCACCGGATCAAAAGAAATCTCCAGATGACTTCGAAACTAATGATTTCAGGAGGATGATTCCCAGGTACGCGTCATCTCATTGTCTGGTAGGGGCTCACGCGAACTGTACTTGGTTAGATACTCAAAGGAAAACTTCCCGAACATCTTAAAACTGGCAGACGACCTCAAGAGAGTAGGCGAGCAGTATAATGCTACCGCTGGACAGGTCGCGTTGGGCGTGGCTTCTTGCCCAAGGTGAAGATGTCATCCCCATTCCGGGTTCAAAGAAGGTCAAGGTCAGTAGCTATATAGCCTTGGGTATTCATGGGTTTGACTGGCACAGTATCTCGAGGAGAACCTCGGTGCTATCAACGTGTCGTTGAGTCCTGAATCAGTCCAGGAAGTACGTGTTATCGCGGAGAAGGCTATTTTGGTCGTCAATACAGTTGGGGCCCCTGGAGCGGTGTTCGGTGCGTGTTATCTGCATAATGCTTGGTCTACTAAAATATTGATTGACGTATGCAGCTGTTTGAGGAGACATGTAAGGAGAGATGTCGCCGCTTAGTACTTTGAAAGTGTTGGTTGATTCGAAGGGTGTCCTTTTGATGCACGGTGAGTTTGTGATGCTCTTGAAATGCATTGCCTGCGCTTTTCTTGCAAGGGAGACTTATTGTTCGCATATGCCCTTATGAGACGTACCTTCTGATGTATCTAGTGGAGGCGCATGCACCAATGTTCATTATTTATTTTCCAATGCAGAACCAACGCCCTCTGAAGACACCGATACGTACATACTGCGTATTGTAGATTTGCATCGGCTTCCCTGTCACAGAAGTCAGATAGCAGCGTGGTCCAGCCGAAGACCCAACGGGCAGCAAACCAAGAATTTGTGTCGCCATCACATTTGCAGCAGGCATCATTTGTGAAGAATCGTTTACTAGTATAACGTCCGCGTAAGATCACGAACATACTGAAACGCCAGCGAGGCCAGTTAAAATACAAAGCGCTGCAGCAGTATACTCAGACTCTTCATTTCACGCCAGTAGTAGTCACGATACATATATAGTCTTGTGTGGCAACTGCAGTCAGACACAAGACTCGTCTGTGCATTAATGGCACGTACATTTTGTCTTGACCCCATGGCGGTCAGTTTGTAGCCGTTTGGAACAACTCAATCATTTTGTTTACGTCGGGCAGTGCATTTAGTGAGTGGTGATAACGCCTACTAGTCCCAAGGCCTATATTTATTATCCTCATAAGCTACGTGACGATGGTCTTCATGCAATACGGAAATCTCCTCGCCATCCGAAACCGGAGGGTTTCCTTGCTCCAGTCCAACCCTCTATGGGGACCTCGCAAGAATTATGCAGTTCCGATTGGCAGGGTCGCGACTGCCTTGATTGCGGTAATCAATCTGTACGGACCAGGGTTACAGAGTGTCTTCAACACTACCCCTATACCTGGGATGTTCTGGGGCCCCCCGTTCGCCTTTGCCTTGGGAATTCTCTGCGTGGACGAAACCCGCAAGTTGATCGTGAGGACATATCCGAAGGTAAGCGTGCCAACCTCTTTCTTGTTTTCTTGATACTGATGGAACGTTAAAGTCGATCATCGCTAAAATGGCCTGGTAAACCTTTGGTGTTACTTGGTCTGTAATTATGTTAGAGTTGGTTGCCGCTTATTTCACAGTTTTGTTAGTTTTTTTTGCATGCGGCGTGGTAATGTGCGATATGTAGTGACCAGCCAGTGACTCGGGTGTGATAATTAGTGTAATAACTAGTATAATAGTCTGTTGCGAGTCGAACTGAGGTGGAAAGTTGACGCAGTTCAGTGTTCCCGGACTCTGCGAGTCACTTTTAGACTTTTTGGAGGAGCTAGAGATCTTGTATAGTATATGTCGATTTAAACGACGAAATTCACCGAGCCAAGGTAAACGTCGTATGTATATAAAGTGATGGTAATATAACTATAATTATGTTTACCTGTTACTCGAAATTCTTTAGGGGTATTGTGGAACATCGGCTGAGCCCATCTTTGCAGCTGGAAAGCTCCGTTAACAGGCCCCAGGCTGCATGCAATTTGGGAAGAAGGTTGAGTACAGTGAGGAGTGCCATGTTTCGTTCAGCAATGTCTGCTAGGAGAATTCTGATCTAAAGTCAGCCTGCTTACCTGTGGACATATCAGTATCGTTATCATCCTCTCAGATTTCTTTACAATAGCAACAAAGAGCAGACTACATTTGCCGTTTCTCTTTCCTCATTCGTCGTTGAAAATAATGTCCAAACGTCGTGATATGATTCCGCCCTCTGAACAGAGCTGTGTCCATTTTACAGAATCACTCAACGTACCAACAGTACTGTGATAAGATCATAACGCTACAACAATATTGATGTTAAAAATTATTGTTCGGGCGCTTGATCAATCGATCACCTGAGACCGCAGCGAAATTGTTTCAGAGCACGTTAGGTATGCATACACAGCATCAAAGGCGCTCGATTGCCAAGAGCGCGCACATGGCGTCAACACGGACTAATTCCGCGGAATTAAACGCTCCGTTCTTACAGAATGAGCACGCGGCCACAATGTGATGCCGCATGCGGTACCACGAGTGCAGCTCGCGATGGTGAAGGACGAGCATGCACTGGCAGTTGGGATCAAAGCCAGACAGCCCATCGTCGATGGTAACAAAGATCGCGTAGTTCAGGACAACGGCATAACAAATCTAGAGATAGATGCGGACGC